TCAGTCTTCAGTGTCAGAAGAACAACGAGAGACCCTTACCGTCTCGTTCCCTTCTGCACAAGTATAAGCCACAGTGTCTGTAACAGGTGGCAGGTCTTCTTTCTCTTCGTAGTCACACCATTCACTCCAGCATTGTTGCCCTTTGACGTTTCTGTACAAATGCGAAAATAGTGCAACAAATGGAACATAAGCCAAGATATGAATAAGCACAATCAGAAACATCCTACTACCCTTCCTGATATCATAGTTTGTGGTAGCAGAACTGAAAACGGCCATTACGGCTAAGTTGAGTAACAGAAGCGCATCCGACTTGTTCACCCAACTAAAGCTTGACCTGCCTTCTTCCATATCGTTGGATCGCTTGTAAGGCTTCAAGAAAGTGAAGATGGAAAGGATCACGACACAGGCGACCTCTATCAGCGATCTTTTCAGAGGACCTTCTGGAACATAAGTACCAATGACGAGCAGGATCAAGCGGCACACAAAGTAAAAGGCTGCGAAAAATCGGTACTGGTCTTTGAAACTGCTCTGCAGCACGTCAAATATAGGCTTTAAGTGATTAAGGTTGAACACTGGTTTAAGACAGCGCCGAAAGAACGGACGAAACATCAAAACGAGTGGAAACAGTACCACGAAAAGAGCCGTGAACAGTAAAGCGATTGACCCGTAGACAGCGTGTTTACCGCGGAAGAATTCAATATCCCCGCTAAGGTACAAGACTGTCGTATCACCTATAACAGCTGGATGCAAAATACGAAGACACTGGTATGTAATTCCAGTATAACAGATAACACAGATGGTACAAACGGCGCGAAAAGGTGCCTTTACACGTCTACTGAACCAGCAGTTTGGGTACTTAGTAACTAGTTTAGTTAACTTTATCACCATCAGTATAGTTAGAACATCAAAGCACATGGCGATGAAAAGCATATCTGCATAATCCATGCCATCCCAATAGCAGAAGTGAGTTCCAACGTATATGACTTGGAAATTTGCGGCGTGAATTATAAACTGCATGACAGGGTCTCTGAAAGTGAACCCGTCTCCAGTGACTTGCCATATTACCTGAAAGAAAAGAAAGTTGGCTTCCTGTGTAACTGGCTTGAGTCTGTATCTCTTTCTGGGGTTCACTCCCTTAAAGGCGAACAGGGTATGGTACTTAACGGCAGGGTGTGGTTTTGCAGGGTCCTCAGTCTTAAACAGGGTATACAATTTCACTATTTACCGTCTTGAACAGGGTGTCTTTTCGGACCGGAAGTCTTAAAAAGAGCGCGAAGGTTAGCGATGCGCGGACTACATGAATAGTTTTTGTTTTTTCAAAAAAATCTTATCCCATGATGTGAGTTTAAAAAGAGTTGGTTCCTGTGAGAAACGAAATGAATCAGGGCCGTGAAAGATTGAAGGGCTCAGTGGCACACCTCTACCCATACTTCCCTTGAGTACCTCCCCCCCGGTCTTTACCATCTTCTTCAAAGAGTTATCCCTAAACCCTTTGAACGGGAGATCTGAACAGACATAGGCACATATGACAGTTAAAGACCGCTATGGAGCGAACTTACCCAATAGGATGGCAGAGGAAATAATGTGGTAAACGTAGTGTGACAACTTTAACAATAATTATGTTTGACCACAGTAACATAGGGTGAAGATCACTGCAAAACACGTAAGTAATAGCCCTGTCACGCGTTTGTTCTTTCTGCCGTCCTATTGCGTGAGCTCCCTATTATTAGCCACTTATCCACTGGATGGTTGTACACCTATTGTAGTGTGTAAACAGGTAGTACCACACGGCCGAATATGCGTCGTAAACTTTGGTCTGACTGGGACTGTTTCACCACCCCACCTCCAAGACTGTCTATCAAAGGAAGAGCTTCTAGTTTATAGAATATGAAGTAACTAAAATATTATGCTATTGTTCTCTTGATGAGATGGTAGAATATTCGCTGGGTAACAATGTTGTCGTAGCTATGTCAGTTCGGAGCATCAAAACCGATATGAAGGAATCGAAGAGTTGACTAACCTACACCAGCTAAGAAAAAGCTAAAAACGCACCCGTTCCCTCTGGATGGAATGCCAATTTATTGCACGGTTAACAAAGATCGACTAATGGTACTGCTATGAACAGCCAATTCCCTCTCCCAACCCCCCCTTCCCCCACCCCGCCCTTAGATGATATACTATAACTCGGAAAAAAAAAAAACAATACTGAACTGTAATAGGATTGTGAATGAGGAATGTCGGACTAGATTTTACTTAAAATGCACCGACCTGGTAAGAGTATAGGAAAGCACTAAGACTCCCTGTAAATGCGTCGATGTCGAAAAACATTATGAGCATCACCAGTACCAAGGTAACAACCAGGTGCAAACAGGTTGAGCCAATAAAACCATACTTCCCGCACTCATAACATTTAGTGTCTCCTCCCACCACACTGAAACCTTGCTTGCATTTTCCGCACAAGATACTTCCTGATTCCCTGTTGCCCGCGCACAGTTTCTCGGCGTCAAAGACGCATTCATCCTCGGCAGCTATCGTTTCCTGAGTCCGGGGACAATTACAATAGGTTTTTGGACATCGATAAGTAACAAAGTTTCCTTTCACCATCCCAGCCCAGAAGCCACGCTTGAGAAAGACGGTCTTTCCGTCTTCGTCGCATCTCGAGACTCCCTCCGATTGTTTTTGACACACACAGCTCCCCTTGCTTAAAATAAACCCGGGATGGCACGGTGTAAGGCCCGAACTGACGTTAATTTCCTTCTGAAGAACCTGCCGCCCAATATGTCGAAGAACCACAGAGAATCCTCTCCCTACTTCACCAGCCAGTGTGAGACGTGACACATTTTCATCAGCGAGAAACAGCGATGACGGGGTTTGTAAATACACTAACGAAGCATCGTCTCCCTCGCCATTTGTGAATCCCATCAACTTGACGTTTACAACTCCAGAAACAATATTACTTTTCTCATCAACAAGCCTAACAACTGGATTAAAAACTTGACTTGGTGACACAATCCAGTCCTTCACATCGAAGAGGATATCGACTGGATCAGTAGCGATTTCTACTCTCGTGTGGTTTTGCAGTGCATTGTGATTGGTGATGTACTTTACGAAATTCCAGTGCAAAGCTTTATTCTTAACTCGCGTTTCTCCAGCCTCTAGGCATCGTTCGAGAGTCGTTGCAAACACAGAGTTTCCTAACGAATCGTTGGGCGCTCGATTGTCTTCAAAGACAACCTGCGCCTCCCAGTTGTCGAACCCACTCGTACTATGATCTTCGTAGGCAAAGAAGCAACTTTGTGGGTCTTTTCCAGTTACATTGTAACTTATCTGTGGCGAACCAGGTGCGGAAACGAACATAGCTCCACCTTTATCTCTACAAGAATTGTTCCTGAACAAGACTGAAGAATTCTTCCAGAGCAAAATCTTAGAGTGTCCATACATTGCCACCGCGCCGCCATGAAATCCTTCGTTTTCAACAAATTCAACGTCGTCGTGAAGTTCGAGAGTACTGCCATCAAGTGCAAGAGCTGTTAGAGTGTTGTTGGTAATGATCATTTTTCCTCGGAAGATAAGCGATATTCCAAAGCTGTAGATCGTACCCTCTCCAATCCGAACATTGGGTTCCTGGGTGTCGACTCGGTTGTGTGTGACCGTACAGCTTTTGAACTCAGCATGAACAGGAACTTCGGGCCCAATGTGATCTGCATTTTGGTTAAAAAGAAATGCACCAATTGCTGCTCCGATGGTTGCGTGGTTTTCAATCCAGTGGCATGACTGAAAAATGAAAGTGCTTCGAGAGTCCAAGTGATGTCTGCATTGGACGAAAACAGACGTGCCATACAATGAGACACCGCCTCCCCAACGTCCCGAGTTACGTCGAAATGTTGCGTTGACAAAGCGCACCTCGTTCATTGGAACAGAAACACCACGTGTAAGCATGACTCCTAATCGCGCTCCTCCACCCGCGGTATATCCAACGTTGCGTTCAAACAAACAATTTTCCACCAGAAGACAATTTTCGCTACTGTGATCAGTAAATTCCGCTACAAGCCCTCCTCCCCATGGTGCTTTATTGTCTGAGAACGTACAATTACTAACAAGTACGGTGGAATTGCTGGAAACACCGTGGAAATGAATACCGAGGCCCCCTCCTTCAGTAAACGGATGATAAAATGTTTCATTGAAATAATCCGGAAAGCGGTCTTCACTGGAAACCTCGTTTCTGAGAAAGCTGCAGTCAGTGAAAAAGTACTTGTTGCCACGTACATAAGTTGAGTGTTCTTCACGCGTGACACTCATGAAGCTCGGACGATGTCGGCTGTACTTGTTTAGACTTACGACAACACCACCCCCGGAAACGAGATAAAGGGCATCTTGCTGCTGCCCCTGCTCGTTTTTTTCCCTTCTGCTCGTGGAATTGGTAATCCAAGCATCCATGTTTGCTGAATTGTTGACAAAACGACAGTTTGACATTTCTAACAAACCACCAATTTCATTCAAGTGAGCCGCACTGCCGATTGACCTCGAGATATCGACGTTTTGCATCCTAATATCTCTGCAGTAATCAAAGTTAATCGCCGTCTTGAACTTCAAAACTGTAGCGTTTGGAAATAAAACGGCATTTTCTTGCCAGGTCCCGCAGTTTAACAATCTGAGTCCTCGAAGAGTTATGTTTTGACTTAAGAAAAACGCGATGCCTGCGTCGGCTTCACAAGATATTTCCACTTCATTTGGCCCAGTCGTTTTTTCTTCTTCATCGCCAGCAATGCAAAAATCCTTTACTCTGATAAAAGTCAGACTTTTACGAAGCTTGTATTTACCTTTTCCAAGTGATAAACGCGTGGAGTTAAAGCCGGAAGAAAGAGACATGCTGTAAACGTGATCAAGAGATCTACATGGTTCATTTCGCTTTCCGCAGGATAAGGTGTCTGCGCCATTCGGAGAAATAAACAAAGTTCTAGAAATGATTGAACCTTCACAATTTGAAAAAGTCAAAATATATAAAAAGGAAAGTAACCATGCAATTGTAGAAACTGCAGTTATCATCGTCCTTTCGTGAAATTCTTTTCGTTTCCGAGAATTGTTCTTCCTCGAAACTGAGCGTGACGTGCAACAAATAAAACAAACGTCACGACAGAGGTCACGTGAAACAGACATATCGGATACCGGATACCGATGGACCATTTTATTTTTGAGCGGGGTGGGGTGGGGGTAATTACAAAAAAAAATTCATGCGCAGCAAAAGTAGAGAAAAAAATCATGCACAGTGGGCCAAAGTAAAAAAATCGAGCAAGTCTTTCTACTTGAAGGATCCTGTTAGACCTAATGAAAAACTAATCTGTAATTTTTGTCATAATTTAATTTCAACAGACAAAAATGCTTTGTAATTATTTGTACAATAATTCACCTTCTCGTGTTTCACATCATAAATTGCATAAATACATCAATTCCATCTATTTGTTGTATTTAAAATATAAATTTGAACCATTTCACCGAATCTAGTATAATATAAAATTCATCTCATTAAAATTCCATGTTCCTGCTCTTGTATTAAAATACAGGCGACTCCCGATAAGTCGAACCCTCGCTAACTCGAACCTAAATCGATTTCCCCTGGATTTCCGTCATACTTTCACTGTAATGCACCTATCAATGTAAACCCCGTGGGCGGGGGGGCAGTGCGGGCAAGGGGTGGGGATTTGACAAATTTTAAAATTTTTCGATCAAATTCCCCAGGGTGGGAAACGAAAGGTCAATCAAAAGTGTCAAAAAAGCCCCCACCCCAGGGGAAAAAATCTAAACAAACAATGCTATAATACTATATAAAACGAATAAAAGAACATTTCAAACACCTTGTTACTACTTTTATTTACGGTTAACGGAAGCTCCATTAAATTACTCGTTGCAATTAAGTATTTTCTCTCTCCACTAGCATCTGTTATCTTAAACAACAAAATCACTCCAGGAAGATTGACCGTGCTATATAATATTAATAAAACTTAAAATGCTTTATAACATCTGCTCAACATGTCGGAACAGGTCAGATCAGTGACCCATAAAAAATCCTCTGACTTTCATGGTGGAATTCGATTTCAATCGAGTTTTACAATTAGATGGGAACTTGAAGATAAAAACTTTCTCAAAATAGACATTATCTGTTTAGATGACAGTTTAAAGTATCGGATTATGGCGATTAAAACAAATAAAAACTTCATACCTTTCTCCAACAGCGTGACTTTCTGGAAGCCTCGAGGGACGGACTTGGTAACTGCTTCTGAATTGATACCAGGCTTCTGTCGGTCAAAGTCAAATGTCCCGACCCCGGGGTCGCTTCGCACGATCAAAAGCCCGATAGCGGGGATAGTCCCAGGCATCAAATCCCCTCCCCTTGCCCGCACTCCCCCCCACGGGATTTACATTGATAGGTGCATAATTTTACCCTCGGTAACTCGAACCCTCGATAACTCGAACTCCCGCTAACTCGAACCAATTTTCGTTTCCCCTCAGGTCATTTTCTATATAATTTTACCCTCGATAACTCGAACCATGTTTTGAGCCCTTAAAAAGTCGGGAAAAAAGCCGTCTACTAGCTTCCGAAACATTGAATTTTGGATTTCCTATTAACGTGTTGTAGGAGTATGGTTTGCTAATGGAGGCTGATGGTGATTGTCACAGGCTAACGTGAAGCAGCTTTTCTTCTCAAAACAGTAAAAGGCATGCTCTATTTAGGCTATGTTTTGTTACGTTACGTTCTGATTTATAATCTAGAAGTATCTTTTAATTTTCACTTGACCTTTCTACAATTAAAGGTGATTAAAATGTTCACTGTGCAGTAAAAAATGTTTTTTACCTAAGTCTAGGCTATTTTCTTCGAGCTCCCGATAACTCGAACTCCCGAAAACTCGAACTTTTTTCGATTTCCCTTGAAAGTTCGAGTTATCGGGAGTCGACTGTATAACTTTCAGCTATTTTCAACATATCTGATATCTATTAGTTAAATAAACGATAACTATTAATAGTGTTCAAAGTCTTGAATGTATACAACTATAAAGGACAGTGGTTTTACTAAACCTAGCTGACACTATCTAATAGTCGGTGTGTAATACCGGTAGACTGTCAAAATTAAAACAAACTAAAACAACCAAATAGAATCTGACAGTGTCCACTATAAAATATTTCAAAGATTTATAATATATAAAACCATTCTATCAAACGAAAGTTTTATATAGACTGATCAAGACCTTTCCTTTTAACGAATCACCTTAAATATATAATTGTGTTTTTTATTATTTATTATTTTGTTTATTCAATATCGATGTAATTCTAGTTATTTCATTCTGTCATGTTCTCACGTGTTATTAATCAGTTATTGTAAAGCGCTTTTGATCTAAAGGGGAACCCCGTCTTACGGCCACCTCCACCTCGGTAATACGCGTCACCTCGTTATTACGGCCACTTGTTTTGGCCGCCCGGCAAAACGACCATATATTTTCTTGTGAAAAAAACGCTCGTTAATGTGGTCACCCGTTAATACGGCCAAATCATTGCATGAATTGGCCCATAGGTGACGTCCTTATTCTCGGGGTTCCACCGTATTTCGAAAAGGCGCTTTAGGATTTTTTAAATTATCATGCAGTGAAACTCCATTGGGCAGACCCTCGGTTCAGCTGACATCTTCTATTCACTGTCTATTAAGCGGGCATTTAGTCCGGTCCTGAAAAAAGTGTCTTATATTTTCTTCGAAAACCAACCTCTATTAGGCGGGCCCTCTATTAAGCGGGCCCTCTATTAAGCGGGCCCTCTATTAAGCGGAACTTCTTATTCATTTTTGTAACCCAACATGTAACACTGAATAGACTAGTAAATGCAGCTTGTACCAGCCTGGAGAGAAAGCAGTATGCATACCTCATGAAATGCTCATTTTTGGTGATACTTTTAATTAATAAACATGAAGACTGAAAACCGATGAAAAAAATCGTGTACAACTTTAAGGTGCTAAAAAAATTATTGCACAGCCCAAAGGCGAAAAAAAAATCTTAACAAGACAAAATTGCCCCACCCCTCCCCCCCCCCCCCCCCACAAAAAACGACCAAACCATCCTTAACCTTTCAACCGCCAAAACACCCAACAAAGTAACGTAGCAGCTGGTAATTTACGAAGTAGCAAGGAAAATAACGTGTTAAATTTCACTGAAGTCCTGTTTCAAGAGGATAATCGTACAAAAATGCGAAACAGAAACAATAAATGTACAGTGTACACTCTTTTTTCTGTTAGAATATATTTTGTCGGAATATCGAGGCTGAAAGTTCCTTTCATCGGCAAAACTACCCAACAAAACCTTCACTAGCTATAGCCAAACGTTTCAGCTCATTATCTCTTGATGCTAATGAAAGTTTAACGAAGGGCACAGGAAATACCTATCCATAGACAGCACAAACCGCAAAAAGTATACGATAAATTGTTTCTGTTGTTTCTTTTTCAAGAAACAAGAATTTAAGAATAATACAATAATAATAAAAATAATTATAAGAATAATTTAAGAATAATACCAGAATATTTACAGGCTCGAATCGAGCCACTTAGGGCGAGGATTATGTTATCACTTAACCCTTTTGACTGAGAGGATAAAAAAAGTATAGGTGAACAGCACGGTATCCAAATTTTTTTAAGGAAAAAAAACTTGGGGAAACGTTCGGCGACAATCTTTTCAGTAAGTGACAAGTTTCTCTATATCGCAAAGCTCCCCAAATCACTGCTCATGACCTTGTTGTAGGCCGTCTACAACAAGAGACACTGTACAAAAGTCTTAAAATGCCCGCCTAAACCGGGTTATATTAGTATGGGTGATTCTTCGACTCCATCACGTTTTCTATCGGCCAGCGATGAGTAAATTGTATGTGAAGGTACCGGAGGGAAAGTACATACAGTTTCACTTTTCTGTAGCGATGTACTCAGGTGAATTAATGGTTTATACTGATGTGGATGACGGATTCAGAATGACCTGAGATCACGTGTATGGAAGGCACAAGTGTAATAACTGGACCCAAGCGTAATGAAAGGTCTAATGATGACGTTTGGTCCCAGCTGAGATATTAAATGTGAGACATGACTACAGTCTCGCTAGTTATCTATAGCTTTTAACTCGGAAAAAGACCGGCCGGTTTTGCCGAGTTATCGTTATGTATATAGGGGAAGAAAGTCTTCCGGGGTGAGATTTAAAGGGACAGTGTCCCGATTATGCGCACGCGCGAGCGTCATCTGTTTTTTCTTCAAAAGACAATAGAACTGTCAAATTAACTCGACAAGATTTCCTTCCGGACCGCACCGCCGACAGAGATTTGTTGTTTATATTCTCAAGTAATATTTTAGACTTTCGAAGAAGTCTTTCGTCTTATATAAAAATTTGGCTCGCGGTTCGAAGACTCATCGCGATTTTATCGCTAGCTGGGCCGCCTCGCGACCCGAAAATCTCGTTCTGCTCGCTTTAAAAACATATTTTCTAATTTGAAACTCATGTCAGAGGTCAATCGCTCCAAGTCCAGTAATATCTGCCTGATTTGCTCGCGTTCTAGCCTCAAACGTTTGAAAGACATAAATAAAAATGCAATCTCAACGCTATGAATCACCACAAAGGTTAGTCAAGAATGATATTATGATTCATGTCACTAGTTTTTCAAAACGTGTAGCGCCTGTTTGTTCGATTTTGTCGGCCGTAGGGAGATTCATTTAAAAGTTTACTAACGCGTCGTTGCAAAACATTCTGCTTCACGAAGCTCCCCTCCACAAGATCTCCTCAGTCACATCAATGTCTCAACGGTTTCTTTCTTACAGTCTTTATTGTTGCTGTTTCATTTCTGCGTATTCCTTTCACAATTATCTGAGCTTGTATGGAAGCTAGCAGAAGAAATAAGCCTTCAATCGGCATCAAAGTGCTTCCAATCTTTTGGTCCTCCAGCCAACGGCAATAAAAGTAACGCCAAAAAATCCAGATTTTGCCCAAATAAAAACTTAACAGGAACAATATATCATTGATCTATAATCCTGA